CATATTATCAAGAGAGTGACTTTGGCTTCTTGAAATTACATTATGCATTTTTTTTCTTTTTTTTCAGTTTTAAAGTGATCAGTTTGTTTCATCATTATCTTCACATTGTCCTTCACCTGCCTGTCCACTGTCCTCACCAGTCTGGGAAGTTTGCTATCTTATGCACTGCAATTCAGCTAGTTGTCCCACCTGTCACTATCTCTAGGTGCAGCTGTTCGTTCTGTTCCTCTTACCCTTTGCCTAAAGAAATTGGCCTTGCTTACTCAGCAGGAACCAGCATTCTGATCACGTCCCCTGGCAATATCCACCCTGAGCTCCTTCAACTGCCCGAGTCATCTTTCTAAGATGCACTCCTGACCCTGCTCTCAAACATGACAGTCTCCCTAATTGCTCTGATATAAAGAAACCCTTAATGTTTTCTCAAACTCCTCAAAAATATATATTTTTTTCTCCTGGTGTTTTTTTTTAATGCATTGATTTGCCTGCTGTCACAGTCATCCTATTCTGTCCCTTTCTGAGCATCTATCTCAAATGCTCCTCCTTCAGGGAACCTTTCATGATTTGCCAACCGGAGATTCTCACTTCTTTGAATGCTCCACAGTATTTGTCTGGCTGTCTTGTATGACATCAATCTTACACAACAGTCCATTAATACTGAATCACATGCATAGTGGTCCCCCTCACATTTGATTTGTTTTTACTGCATTGTTTATACTTTAAACACAAAGATTTCTATCTATGGATCTCCTCCACGCATGGAGGAGCCTCAAAAATTTTAAATGAATTCATTCAATGGACTCAAATTCAGAGACCATCCTACCAATTTTACTCTATGTGTGAGTTTTGCAACTTCATTCTTTTGGGGATTATTCGTATTCTAAGAAACTAGTGTGGTTTGTGGCTTAGAGTCATGGTTTAGGCTGCCCTTGGGAAGAATGAAAAACAGCTGGTGTCCAAGGAGCTCTGGAAATTAGCCAATAAACTAATTGTAGAACAGAAGCCAAGAATACAGACATTTCAATTTCATAATTAAGTTCTCTCTATGCTATTATTTGTGTGAAAACACACTGTTTTAGAACATTGAATCAAATAAGGTAATAAGGTATTTTCCCCCCAAATCATGGACTACATATCCAAAGAAAAAGAATCATAATATGAATATCAGCACCCTTGTGCTCAAATTGCATTTGCTTTGTTTGGTCAATTATACACTCTCTAACAACGAAACACTTAAGAAAGATCAAATTAATTTTAAGGGATTTTTTTAGAATTCATTAAAAATTGTTTTATTTCAGTGTGTGGAATAAAATATGGTGATGAGAAAACTACTAAAATGTTTATAATATTGAAGTTGTTGGTATTTATACATATAATAATTCATAGGGATTTCAACTGAATTTGACAAATACTGGGTGCTCACTGTCTATATCCAAGGAATTGTCCAAGTAAATGAGATACAAAGATGAATAATCACAGAATTAGCACCCTRAAAACTTAGAATTAGGAAATTAGCAAGAAATACACAAATAACTGTAAATTAACCTCAAGTGTGAGGACAGAAATACAATACATATGAAGGCTTCTGTAATACAAAAGAAGAAAGCCCATGTGATTGTGTAAGAAATATCATGAAGGGATCCAGCATTCTGATATCCAAACCTGGGAAGGTAGAGTTCTAAATAAAGGAATGAATTAAGGAGGAGACATTGGTGGGAGAAGCTGACACAGTAAAAGGCTCAGAGAATTGCAGGTGAAAACAAACTACTATGAATCAGGCTGGTGCAATTAGCATAAGCTCTTGTATGAGACGCACTTGAGTGACAGTGTTCAAGGAAAAAGGAAAATTTGAATACATGGCAGGTGACTCAGAGCATAGATGTTTGTGAAGTGGTTATAGCAAAGGGTGTCCTAAGTTTTTGAGGTACATGGCACAGGTTAGGAACCAAGGTAGCTTTCCAGTTGTTCACAATCCAAGTCAATGTTGAACAAGTTAACATAAAGGTAACAGTATCCAAGTAAATTCTTCATTTTTCACTTAGCTTTAGACAATTAAAATCACTTAACAATCCCTGCTTTGGCCTCCAAGGTATGGATTCTATTATACACCTCACCAACTTTCTTCATGATGGATTCATATGAAGCATTTCCCTTGGCCAGATTACTTAGAGTTCTTCTTTTATGATTTCACTAAAGCAAGCACATTTTTCTGAAGTAATCAATTTCCTCCTATTTCAGGGCCTTTGCTCCTTGATCTTCAGTCTGCCTGCCCCCAGACCATTCTCAGTGAGCTCAGCCCTGGAAAATCCATTAAATACTGCAACCTCACCACAAATCACTTGATTTTTCTTCCTAACCTCATCACCTTCTAACATACTGTGTAATTTATTTATTTTTCTGGTTTGTTGTCTGATACCCACCCAGGGAACAAGGATATTTGTCCCTGTGATTCCTGAATGTATCCCCAATGCTTGGAATAGTGTGGACATATAGCAAATACTTAGTAAATATGAAGTGGATAAATGCATGTGAGAATGAACCATGTGTTGAGTATGTGCATGGATATTTAAGGTAGTCCCTATTTGCTTTAGAGTACTCACTGTTCTGAATACTCCTTCTCATTACTTTTCATGGAATTAGGGAAGATTTATAAATATCTTTTATGTAATCAGCATTGTTTCTGGTTCTAACAAACTAAATCACAAGTTCAAGTTCCAGTATTTGAGAAGAAAATAATGAGGAAATGACATACAGAATAGGAATACTATAAGATTTCACAGGGCATTTTAAGGGAGGAAACAAAGCCTCGTATTTCCAGAGATGTCCCTCGACGGTATGTTTACAAGATCTAGTGAATAAAAAGATGCTGCCCGCCCCCAAGAACATTTGTTGGGATTACACATGCTTAAATTCTCATTCCGGCAATAYCATTAATTACCCTTATCACCTGGGCTTAGTCATTGCCTTCTCTGGGTCTACATGATTTCATTTGTAAATTGAAGATCAGAATCTCAACCTCACAGGAGGAATGTGAACTATCTAATGAGATCATCTATAGAAATTATCAGTCAAGGCCTGGCATATAGAAGCAATTAAATAAACTCATGGGGAGTAAATTAATTCTTGATAAGTGGGGGAGAGAAATAAGTAGGAAAAAAATGTATCTATTTTTCACTTCTTTCTACTGCATTACACTACCCACATCTTTACTCATAGTGTTTGTTTGTATTATTTATTCCTTGGTTACTATGTGTATTTATTCCCATTTTAAGAGAAGGGAGACTAGATCTTAGACATATTAAGTAACTTGTTCAAGACAAGTTACATATTTCTTTCAAACTCTATAATAATTCAAACTTATTTATTTGTTTTATTCTCCTTGTAGCTCTACTTTTACCTCTTGAAAGACCTCTTCTGTATGGGTAACTGTTTCTATTTTTAGATCTTTGTGTTTATGATGCTGGCCATTGAACCTAGGGCCTCAGGCATGCTATTTATCACTCTCTATCACTGACCTATATCCCCAGCTCTTCTAGGTCTAGATCTTGAACTAGGCGCTTTTCATAGAAAACTAAAAAAAAAAAAAAAAAAAAAAAACATAATGTTTAATTGAACATCTATTTACCTGTAGGCACTGATCTAATTACTCCTCAATTCATTTGGTCCTCACAACAACTTTATGAGGCAGACACTACTTTTATCCTCATCTCAGAATGATGAAAGTCTTAGAGATAATAGAAATGAAACAGCAAGGTAAGGCATTCATACAGTTTATATTTTAAGATGAAGATTCAAATCCAAGCATCTAGATTTTAGAGTCCATAATCTTAACCATGAGATCATACTGCTCTTMACCCACTAGGAATGATTATATATTTTCTTTTTTTGATAAAGCCTAAGAAAACACATTTCACAGTCTAAGTTGAACTTCTATGAACTATGACTCTCTTACATTGTTTGGCAAATCTTTATTTTTTCCAGTGACATTGGCATCAACATTGAGTCAAACTCAAAAAGTTTGTTTATACAAAATATATGAAACTAGACTGTGACAGAAATCCCAAATTCTAGTTCAGTACTTATAAAACTGTTCGTAGTACCACGAGCCCATGTCCCCAACCTGGAAATGTCATATGCATGGTCTTCATTGCTTCAAACAGACTCCACATTATGCCCTTAGAAAATGCAGGACTTTAAATCATAACCTTGCATAAGTTCAAAACCCAAAATAAACTTTAACAAGACTCTTTCCTTTTAATACCAACTTCATTTGTTTTAACTCTCCAAGTAAAATGATTTGAACACAGAGATTCTATTTTTAAGAGAGAGCAAAGAATGCGTGCATGGCAAGTTGGAACAGTGTTCAAGTGCACTGGCTTCCCTGCTATCAGAACGACAAAGCCTTAAATCACAAGAAGGAAAAAGTCAGCATGTTCTCTCAGAACACAAATAGATCAACATCAGTAAGAGCTTTGTCCAAGAAAGGGAAGAGACACCGACCCAAGAATAAACCATGCTCATGAAACCTATAATTTCAAGAAATAGTTTCAAGAAATGCTTTAGCTGATAAATATGACTATTAGATACAGAAATCACAGAGAAAGTTCCATGTGATTATTATTTTTTTAAAAGTAGACCTTCCAAATGTGATCAGTCAATGCACCCCACTCTTTGTGTTCCTGATGTGGTTCATCAGTGGTTATGGGACCCACAGAAGAAAAATCCATGTAGATTCACACTCTCTCTCTCTCTCTCTCTCTCTCTCTCACACACACACACACACACACACACACACACACACACACCACACACACACACCCTTTAATCCTGTGATAGAACAATATTTAACATTATCAGGCACATAAAAATCTTTCCCAAGTTAAAAATATATAAAGAGCCCATTTCCCTTGACATGCAAACGCTCATGATGCCTTTAGGTCCTTCTAACCTCTGAATTAAAGCTTTCCCGCTTAGAACTCAAAAGAAAAAAGAATTCCTCTTACCATATATTCCATGTTTGCTGCCGGTGGGAACACTTTGCCCCGAACTTGATTATGATAATCAAGAATAGCGATCATGTCATTCTGCGAAATGTAGCGCTTCCGCCTGGCTTTGGGGAGATCCGTAGAATCTAGTGGTGCGCTTAGAGCTGCTTCAATATCAGTGAAATTATTGGTTGGCGGGGATGAGTCAGTGGAATTGAGTAAGATGACGGTACTTGCTTCACAGAGAAGGGAGAACAGGAGCGCATGGCTGACAGCAGAGATTGCTATCATGTTGAGGGGCGGAGAAGAAGAGGCCACCGAGTTTACTTTGCTTAAAAGCAGAAAAGTTAGAGTTAGGGTCTTTGGGGAAAAAAAAAATAGGGCCAGAGGGTATGAATTTACAAAGTCATCATTTGGGAGCATTACTTGATTTGACTGCCTCCAAAAATCCAAATAAATGTTCAACTCAAGGCTAGGAGACCCCTTACAGTAAAATCTCTATTCATTTGGCTGTATTATGAGAAAGACCCCTGAGAGGAACTTTCTAGAGCTAGAGTAAAGTAAACAACATGACCACTAACCCTAAAATGAATGTGAGCCATCTGCCCCAATTGCCAGAACCACAGAATGCATTGGTGCATGTTTGTTTCCAGTGGGGAATCTTTAGGAATTAAAATTCACCTTGAAAGTGAAGAGGGGGGAAAATGCATCACAGGTAACAACAGAGAATGTGATGATAATGTCTCCCAGGCACATCTGTACACACCAAGTGATACAATGCATAACAAAAAAAGTAATATAGTAATCCAATCTCATATCTTTAAAAAAAAGGAAAAATGAGCTACTTTAAAATCAATGCATGCAAGATAAACTTGTTGAGCCAAATAGCTTACCTCTGAACAATGCCAAAATGAATATACTGCTCTTCCAAAAATTTAAAGTTCTTTGCTATGTTGTAGCATGAACTCTTGTAAGAGGAGTATGTCTTATTACAATCTCCCAGAGAGCAAAAGCCTGCAAGGTTTGAAAGCTGCTGGCTACAGAAGCAGCTGACAGCTTTTATATGTCACAGTTTGCAACGTCCAGAAAGGGCAGTCTTTCTTAGGGTCTCTCTTAGCCAAAATCAAAGGGGAGGGGTTTTGGATAGAAAAAACAGTGATTGGGTGGTGACTTTTTATGTGGGTGGTGAGGAAATTGAGTCACACCCACAGCTTACAAAGTGCAAACCATAAAAGACAAACCTCTTTTCTCTGGGCTTCCACCTTTTCTGTGAGTGGTTAATTTTTCTCATTTAATGTTTTCTAGTTTTTGGTTCCCATACAAAAAGAAGTAGGAAAAGAAAGAAAGGAGGAAAAAAAAAAAAAGACCGTGGGCTCTTGAAAACACAGATGGCTAAGTAACAAGCAGTACATTTTTTAAAGACAGTAAATGACATGGGAGCTGAAAAGAGCAAGCTGATATTAAATCAAGAGATCAGCTCACATAGTTAATCTGGGTGGCCACAAATATGATTCAAAAAGAATGCCAGGCAAATCAGTAGTAGCCAAACTATAGCATATGATATTAGTATAATAGATGCTCAAGCAGTAGTGCTCTGTCTCCATGTGACTTTCTGCCTCTGATTTATATATTTATATTCTGTCTCTCTCATCCTCATTTCACATTCTCTCCCTTTTTACTTTCTCTACAGAGTGAAGTCAGCAAATTACTCCCTTTTTACCTGCCTTGTGAAAATGTGAATAGAGAAACTCATGGTGAAAGCCTGAAGCCAAGATAACATCTGTTTCAGGTTTAGAAGCATATAGTTGAAAYTTTAAGCAGAGAATAGTTCAGCTTCCCAGGAAGAGTACTGGAGGGCACAGCATAGAGATTATGAAGAATTTAGCAGCAGCAGCTAAATTCAACAATCAGAAGTGCCTTCATAGGAGGAAAACATTGGAGCAAAATAAATATCAGGCAAAGCAAAAGCCAAGCATGCAAACATGAGTGTGATCCAATGAATCAGACATAACTTTCCTATGTTCCTATATGAATACATAACCAGTGTAACTGCACATCATGTACAACCACCAAAATGAAAAGTTATATTCCAGGCATGTATGATATATCAAAATATATTCTACTGTCATGTGTCACTAAAAATAACAAATAAAAAAAGAAAGGACTTTCAAAATGTAAAGTGTTATGATCGTATTAATAAAACATGGACCATTTGTAGTCAGTAGCAACAGGTACTCTATAAAACATACACTGTTCAATGTAGGATCTTAGCATAGACTGACTCGTTCAGTCTGCAGAAGGGATTGTCTTCTGCATGTTTCAGCAGGAGAATTACTATGTGAATTTACAATCAACAGAAATGATGATCGTGTGGCACACTGAACTGTGAGCCAAGTTTCCTAGGATATGTTCCCAGTTGGATCACCAGCAGTATGTGTGGCCTAATGCATACTATTTAACTCTTCCTAGGTGCATTTCAAAATAGGAGGGAAAAAAAGGTGCATATTCTATAGTGAGACAGATGTTTATCATATTTTTTTAAGAAGGCAGTTAGGTGTTTGGAACCAGAAGTTCTCCTGCCATTCAAAATACAGGGTTGGGACACCTACTTCTACAATAATGGTATGTGTTAGATTTTAGGTTTTGCCATATTTTGATGAGTATTAAGCTCTTAAGTAAAATGAAATCATTTTAGGAGAGTTTAAGTTACGATATCAGAAGTTTTAAAACAAGGAATTGATTAGCACCATAGAATCGAAAAGGAAAGAACACACCTAAGCACAGAAGGTGAGGGGGGAAATGTGAAACCTCACAGCAATTGGAAGGAGTACAAAGCTCACAGCTGCAGATTTTTAACTGGAGCTGTCCAACTAGGGTCTCAGTCCTTCAGACAGTAGTCATTTGAGTGCATATCAAGGACGCCATGCTAAAGATTCCTGCATCAGTCAGGAGGTTAAGAGGAGACACTCTCTGCTCTACCACCCCTGGACTTTGGAGAACTTTGAGACAGCCCAAATTATTCTATACTTTATACATAATTCAGACAGCTGCCCATCATATTGAGAACTAAAGTTGTTTTTTTTTTTTTTTTAAATGCCCAAACAGCAGGAATGAGCCTTTCTTTCTCTGGGGTAACTGAGTTCTTTTTAGAACCTCATAAAAAATCAACCATTACATTCAAGATTACCCTCTTTGTCATAGACACAAAGAGATATTGTCTGCCTTTTGGAATCTGACTAGGGGGACTTCCATAAGGATGAAAATATGATTATTGTGAAATGTGTCCAAACCATACATGGATTTCCTCTAAGAAGGAATGGAAGGATGGATGGGGAGAAAGAGAAAGGATTTTTTTTAGATGAACTTAAATAGGAGATCACCTCCTTGCATCCAATTACATAAACGCAGAGCTGATAGTTGCTTAATCCTGAGACCCTGAGGCATGTCAATGATTTCAGATGTCTTTCAGCACACATGGATTACACTGTGGAATTTCAGACTATTAAGGAAACCCACACAGCTATGGAATCATAAGAGAAAAGACCTGTGGGAGGAGAGTTAAGAATTCCGCTTCCAAGCAGACGTTATTGCCAGAAGAAGTATTTGAAATGCTTTGGAAGTAATTTTAATTTTAAAATACTTGCAAAATTAAGAGGCACACATCCAAGTTGTCAGTAACAGAACTATTAATGAACAACTAACAATGAAGTGGTTCTTTATAAGAACTCTTCTTGAAACAGACCACTGGCATAGTTTGAAACCTTTAAAGGACTTCTTGCCAACAAAGACAGAAATGGAATGCAGTTTATGTTACCGAGAAGAAGTACATATACAATTGGCAGCACCTTGAAATCTGTGAGAAAAATGCTTATGGTTTTAAAATTGAAATCATATACATTATTAGTATGACACACCTGTTTATGCAGAGTGACTCTGGTGTGTGTGTCTGTATGTTTCTGTATGTGTGTGTATACACATGAATTTATGATTTTTATCTGCATTCTTCCTAATTCACATGTTACATAGAACAGTAGCATTGACTCACTTGGAAGCTTATTAGAAATGCAAAATTTCAGGTACCATGCAGTAACCACTGCAAAGGATGTTCGTTTTATCAGGATTCGCAGATGATTCACATGTACTTTAAAGTTTGAGAAGTGTTGTCTATAAATAATTTTGTTTTTAGAAACACAGGCAATACCCACTACACACCTGTTCATTGAATTCTTTTTTCTTTTCCTTTTTTAGTACTGGGGACTGAACCCAAGGACACTCTACCACTGAACTATATCCCTAGAACTTCTTATTTTTAACTTTGAGAGAGAGCCCCTTGTTAAGTTGCATAGGGCCCTGCTAAGTTGCTGAGGCTGGCCTCGTGCTTTTGATCCTCCTCCCTCAGCCTTCTTAGTTGCTGGGATTATGAGCATGCAGTACCATACCAGCTCATTGAATTCAAAAGTCTGTTTTTATAGTAACATGAGGAGAGTTAAAGACAATATAGATATACACGGGCATCTACGAAGTAGAGGACATAAGGTGACTTCTATTTCATAAGGAAAAAAAAAAGATGACTCAGAAAAAAGTACCCACATAGAGCATCTTACAAAAAAAATATTTAGTAGTAGTCAACACCTTTGTAAATTACTATATAAACTCTAATTAATACATATTGACTTATTACAAGGTTATTGAAACAATGGAAGTTTATAAACTGTGACATGCCATATGAACAGAAGTATAATTTTACTCTTTCTCCAGACAGAGACCCAGGTCATCCTTTGTTCCTCATTCTTTCTTACCTTACTTCATGAAAAACATGAGGCTTTTTATCTCTGATATTTCTGACTCTGGTGCCTTTCCTCTCATCCATTATCAATAATGCCTTCTGTTGCCTTCTGTAATGGTTGATTCTGGATGACAGATAGACGGAATTAAGGAATACCCAGATAGCCGGTAAAGCATTTGCTATTCTCCATCATTGCACTGATTATTCTCAATGCTGCAGTAGACACTAAGCCCATCCTCTTCTATTGAAAGGGAAGCCCAGGTGTTCTGGCATTTGATCCAATGAAAGAGCTTCATGGTGTATCTACATGGGTGTTTTCACAGGAGATTGGTATGTGAGTTGATGGCTAAGTAGGGACATTTGGCCCTCCGTGTGGGTAGGCACCATCCAATCAGCTGAGGCCCAGATGGAACAAAAAGGCAAAAGAAGAGTGGATTCTTGCCTTCTCTTCCAGAACTATGGTGCTCTTCCTCTTCTGTTCTTGGACATCAGAAGTACGAATTCTTGATGCTGTGGACTCTTGAACTCACACCAGAGGCTCCTCCCCGATCCCCAGGCTCTTGGGCCTTCAGCTGTGCACAAAGATAGACTATGGACATCCTCGTATCTCAGCTCTTCAGACTTACACTGAATCGCTCTTGACTTCCAGGGTTCTCCATCTTGCAGACAGCCTGTTGGGGAGCTCAGCCTCTACAATCAAGTGAGCCAACTCCCCTCATAAATCCCTTTTCATCTATCTCTTTGTCTTTATCCTATGGATCTGTCTCTCAGGAGAACCCTGACTAAAATACCCTCCTGAAAACAAACTGAATCTTTTCACTTGTTTCCATGTAACTCATTCTTGGCTCTCCTTGCCCATAAAATTCAAATTCAAGTGTCTTGACACTATAAACCACTTAACTTTCAGGCTTATTTGCTTGTAACTGCTTCTACCTATTTCTCTACCCCTACCACACCCTATGCCATAACTGCATGTGGCCATTATCT